AATCAAGGCTCTGATAATGTCTGCATATAGAGGGTGTAAAGTATGCTTACACTTGAGTTATAATCAATAAGAAAAAGGTAAATAACCCCAATGAAAAATGAGCACAAGATTTGAATAGATATTTTTCCAACAAAGATGTATAAATGGCCAAAAGACACATGCAAAAATACTTACCATGCTGTATCATCAGGAAAGCACAAGTAAAAGCACAGTGAGGTGGTTCATTCGCTAGAATGTCTACAATCAAGAAAGATGGGTATAGCAAGTGCTGGCAAGGGTGCAAGAATTTCAGAAACGATTGGTAGGAGTGGGAAGCAGGGAAGCCAATTCAGAAAACAGTGAGATAGTTCTTCAACAGTTTAACATACAGTTGCCATAAGACTCTAGGTGCATTCAAGAGATAGTGAAAATAAACAACACAAAATATTTCCACGAATATTCAGGGGAGCATTGCTTATATCTAAACAGTGAGCGAAAATGTGTTGATCAAGGGATACATGAATAAATAAAATGTAATATGCCCAAACAATGGAATATTTTTTATAAAGAAATGGACTGAAGTATAGATTCATTTCATGATGCTGAAAACAGTATGCTAAGTGAAAGAAGTCATCTACAGAAGACAATCTAGTGTATTATTCCATTTTTACAAAATACCGGAATAAGCAAATCTGTCAAGATAGGAAGTGCTTTAGTAGTTGGGTAGGAACTGTGTGGGAACTGACTGCTGATGTACTAACGTATGTGGAGATGGGAAGCTAAAGCTGATGGCATTGCTGTGAATATGTGAGACACCACTGATGCTCACATTTCAAATGCATGAATTGTACAGTATGTGAACTCAGTCTCAATAGAACTATTATGTCTGTAAAAGTTAGTATGCTGTGGAAGTGGGAGGGGTTCACGAGTCCCAAGTCCTAGTTGAGGAGCTGTTGACAGTTGATAGCTTCTGGGGGAGGGAGAGTCAGATTTCTTTGAGGGAATAGTCAGTCCCTGGTGACAGGCCAACCACACTCCAGTGGATTGTCCCACATCCATGAGTATATGGGAACACAAATTAGACTTGGTGGGTTATTTTTTAAAAAAGTTGAGAAGGGGTTGGGAGATAGGTGTGAATCTGGGAGGAGTGAATCTGCGAGGAATATGATCAAAATACATTGTAGGCATGCAATACATTTTCAAAGAATTAATAAAATATATTTATTTTTTTAAAAGAAAAGTTACTCTGGTAAATATATTTTAAATCAAATTTTCTCCTTCCCCTCTCTTTCTTTCCTCCCTCCTTCCTTGCATATAATTTATAAACCTGGGGTGGAATATGTTTAGTCCATGAATTAAGACATAATTATATTGTCAGTTGGGAAATAAATGATAACAAGTAAAATGTGGAAAGTTCATTTAATCAGAGGAGCTGCAGATAAAGGAGAGAGCATATTGGAAGTTTAAGTAAGTCTCCCTACTGACATTTACTCTTTTTTCCATTCAACATATAAACATTTAAGGCACTGCACTAGGTACAATTTCATGATTCTAAAGCAACATGCATTTCCCACAGCAAATACCTGAGACCAAATTTCAAATGTTTTATAACCAATCAGTGTAGCCTATTGCCTCCTTTTCTTTAGCAAATAATTTACAGTAGCTGACTTTAGTCTATCACAAGTTGCTTAAAAAGGTAAAATACAAATCACATTTGGAAATCTCGATATTTACACAAATGCTAAACATTTAGTTAGAAAATTCTTAAAAAGAGTTGTGTGTCTTGAATAATGTCCAAGTTTGTTTGATAGCACCACTGAGAACTTGGGAACTGCCAGGAATGGGCAGCACGCAGAAGCCAAGCTGACTTTGTGTTTTCTCCTCCATCAAGTTCCTTCCTTCTCAAAGTACAGATCTACTTTGGTTTTGGAGGGTTGAAAGCTTGGCCCAAATGGGCTTGGCTGGTAGCCAAAATCAGCTCAATGGCCCCTGGAGAAACTGGCTAATTACAAAACAACTCCCAGGGAACTCAGGCATGCCAGTACAAAGTACAACCCACCTCTCTTTAGAGTGAGCCCAAAGCTTCATTAGTATGACTTACAAGTATTGTCTCGGGCCCTGTCTCTACAACTCTGGAGAGGTTTGTAAGGTGCTGTCCATGACTGAACTCAGATCGGATACGAATTTCCAAAGTCCTTTTATAAATGAAGAAAATTGGAAATTTATAATTTAGGACTCTTCTAGGCTGAAGAGAACTCCCTGGGCCTGTTGTGGTTTATGTCTAGGTCTTCAGAACTTAATTAAATTGGGTTCTGCAGATGAGGCACACTGTAGTCTCATCTTTAATTTAAACAACATTCCTTTCATTTCTCCTTGGTAGGTCCACCCAATTATCTTCCTCCTGGGAAGATCAGTGAAGTCTTAGAGAAATCCAGGAGGAAATCTGTATGTGTATTTTCCTAGCTTATTTTCCTTCTATGAAAAACAACACATTTAGAGAAAGTAAAGTATAAGGCTCTATCACCATGAACTGTATCGTGTTCATCTCCGAAGCTAAGCTAGGTTAACAGTGGATGAGAGATTTTTGACTGTAGAAAATAAGTAATCTTTAAAATAAAAGTAAAAGGAAGAAAATTCCAGCCAAATGATTAAGCCATCCAAATATATGCATTGTTTGAGGTAAAAGAGGAGCTCTTAATCATTCAGAGCCTAAACTTTATTATTTATCTGTACTCAAAAGTCCTTTTGCATCTTTTCCTCATTCATTTATTCAATATTACTAACGAATTATACTTTTTCAGACTAATATCTGAAATTTTCTTATATAACTTAAGATTTTTTTTAAGGATGAGTAAAAGAAAGATTGGAAGAACAGACCATGAACGATAAATTCATGATTGGGTACAAGGTATCCCCTCTTGATTTTGATGATGCATCTTTCATTTAATCACTTGATTATCTCCTAGAGAGCCTTCTCCACCAGAGAGGAAGGCAGCTCCCTGGAATTCAACCAAACCCCATTCTTTGAGGAGAAAGAAAACTTTGAACAATAGATGTCTGTTTCAACAACTAGTATCAATGTTCTGAAAGTACTAATCTGCTTTTGACCTCCCAACAAAGGCTGATTTGCCTCCTTTCCACTTGACTCCATGGTTTGCTGGAGCTTTAAAAACACATTACATAAATCCTTAGAAATCTTTTGTGAGGATGAATTCAACATTTTTAAGCAGTGATCTCGTCTTCATGATTTAAGGCACGACATGGAGACAACTCCAGCTGTCCTGAATCAAGGTGAGGGTTGATACTTGCTTTTTCAAGGTGAGACCGTATAAGGGCTTCCTCCTCCTGGGCAGATCTGATACTTTGTCTTTTCCTGACACAGTCTCACTTGCAGATGTGACTCATTTAGTGCAAACTAATTTCAAATGCAAAACAACAAGATTCATATGCAGATGATCCTCAACTTATGATGGGTCACTTCCTGATAAGTCAAAATGAATTTACTACACTAGCCCTACTGAACCTCAGAGTTTAGCAGTACACTGTACTATATTATACTATATTATATGTTTACCCCCAAGATCATGTGACTGACTAGGGAGTGGGGGCACTGATGTGGCTGCCCAGTCTCCTAAGACAGTATCACATGGCTTAGCACAAGGCTGGGAAAACGTCCAAATTCAAGATTCAAACTGAATTCTATTGTGTGTCTTAAAAGTCAAGAACATAAGCCTAATAATCATATGTGGGAGACTGTGGGTATATAGGTAAACTTCCATTTAAAAACAGTTACCTATTGTTTTACAAGAGCTACAGCAAACATAGGTGACTAAACTAAAAATAGATCAAGTCAGCTCAGTGACTCTTCTCAGGGGTTTCTATAGAACCCTGGGCTCTGACATCCACTTTCCTATTTGTTTTCTAGTCAATTAGCTGTTTGGTCAGTGCTTGGGGTCACACAGTCATGCGGCCTCCATTCCTTATCTCATCATTTTCTATGGAATCCTGTGTCTCTTGAAGATTCCCTTTGTAGTTGTGAAGCAGGCATCATTTTCGGACTACTGGAATATAAAACTTATGATTCATGGATCACCATTCCCAGCACTGAGTCTAGATTTCTGCTGGCGTGCTCATATTCTTATTGATAAGACATCCATTCTTTTCCAGGTCTACACTGACATGTCAGGTGTTCCTGTGTTCTGTACCCCGAATTAAGAGCTAAAGAGTGGCAGTGTCTGAGGAAGTCGTCATAGACAGATGAGGAGGCAGGTCCGCATCACTCCTTCAGTGTTCAGGGCCTGGAGTTCAAAAGGCTTCATACTGTGGGACACTGTGTATTAAATCTCACAGAAGCCTGCAACCAACCATTGGTAGCTTTTCTGATCTTCAGTGAAAGGAATAAACTATTGTGTTCTCAGATTTGAGAGAGGACCCACAGCTTTCACTTTGTTCTGTGAGTTCTGTCATCTTCAGTGATTTTTGAAAAGAATAGTTGATTGGTGATCTCTAACTAGGGTATGTCCTTTCTGAGACTGTGTTAGGAAAAACTCCATGTACTGGGTCAGAAACAGGCAGCACCTACTGCTTTTATGTAGACTGCCTCTTTTCTAGAATAGAAAGGATAGTGCAGAATTATAGCTACGGATGCCAGGTATGAGTCCTTGGATATGGGCAGGACACAGTCAAGGACCTGATCCACAGGGCAACACTGTGCAGGGCAGGACAGACAGGGATCCAGGATAACCACAGGATAGCCACTCAAAGTTTGGCTGCTGCAGGGGCAGACCACTGCTCACACAGTTCCTCCTTAGTAATCATATGAAAATAAAGGAGAAAACTGTATGTAGCCAAACAAATGAAAAGCTAGAATTTTCCCACTTTTAGGTAAAACAACACTTGAGTGCTCCTTTTTCTTAAGAAGGGACTTTCATGCACAGAATCACCCAAGGAATATATATTTCCAACTTATATGGCTTTGATTGTGTTAATGAAGCTATTATTCACATAGAAAATGAAAATCATTCCATGTTGGAGGCACATTTTGCTGATAGTGTCTTGGAACAAGCAATATGACCAGTTATACAAAGTTTAAGAGGAGAATCAAGACCAGAGCACAGCTGTTCAGCTGGACAGATGGAGCCGAGCTGGTCTGGCCCTTCAGCATGCATACCACCCTGGACCAGGACCCGTTGTTGGGCAGCGGGACGATGCCTGTTACATTGCACATGACGTTGTAGACATCCACAGATCTGATTGGAGCAGCTTTGAAGTTGGACTTGAAATCTAAAAGGCAAAGACAAGCAAGTGATCGTGGGTTAATCACCCAACTAAGGAAAGATGACTCACAGCATAGAGAAATTCTGTTCAGGCTTCAGGCAACTCTGGAACTGGAAAATGAGCTTCATCAATGCTTGCGACCGAGTGTTTGTAAATGTAGAAGTGTGCATGGAAGGTTATGGGTTATGAAAGGAAGACACCTATGGCTCACAACAATGAGACTCTTCAAAGGAAAAGTCAGCAAACAGACTTTCTATGCTTCCTCTATGACAACAGAGCTTTCTTGCAGAGACAGATGAACCAGCTGAAGCTGCTCCATTCCTTTAGAGCACTGGGCACCCGTCTGGTCAGAGATGATGGGTTGTTTTTCTGGGCTCCTCTTAAATGTCACACATATCTTCTGGAACTTCTAGGAAGCCAGGACTTAATACCTAGGGTACTGCAGAGTCCCCACACCAACTTGAGAATATCTCTCTTCTCACCACATCAAGGTCACAGGTCTTTATGGATCATGAAGCTATATAGTCTCTGGGGTGCTGGTAGTCCACCAGCAATGGCAGTAGTGTTTTCAATATGCTTAGAAGATTAATTGACCACTCCTGGGAGCCCTTCAGGGACAGCTGAAGTAACTTAGCCCTAGGGAAAATGAGCAAAGAGGTATTGGAGTTGAGATACCAGGAAAGGCTTCAAGAGACCCATGGGGAAAAGAGCCTTGTGCCTCTACTCAGAGCTCGGGCCAGCCTGGAGCAATGATTCAGGAGTATGGGGATGGCCATGCACAGCCTTATCGATAAGGGGCACTAAAGGTAATCCTTTTAAATGATTGGAGGGTTTTAGTCCAGTGTGCCTGCTACTTCTCTGTGGTAAGGAATAGGACTGGGAATACAGACCACTTGTCCCAACAAAATATCCCAAACTATGTTAAGGCTGAGTTCAAGGGGGAGGGTTTTTAATCCATCAACAGAAACCTGTGCATTCAGTTAACCCAAGATTTTTAAAGGGGGTGGATAATTTAAGGGGTGCAAAGTCAAGTTTTCTATCTTAGAAAAAAATCACTTAAATTATTTTACTAAAATGATCAAATACGCTTCATTTTAAAAGCATGAAAACAATGCATCATGGTATATTCTAGACGTCTAAGACCAACACCAAATTCTGTTCCTGGAATTATAAATATGGAAGAAAGTCAGACACAGAAACTGCCACTTGGTGTGTTAGATCCAGGACAACTTCTTGAGTAATGGGTTTTGCTTACTTTGGAGACTTACAGCTGAATTCAGTATAAAGAGGCGCATTCACTCTATAAGAAATGGGGGTGTGAAATGGCACCCAAGTCATGCCAGATACAACAGCCATTGTTATTAATGAGTACATGTAATAAATGCTAGTAAGAAAAAACTTTGAATTGAAAAATTCACCTCATATATGATTTAGAGGGTCCAGTTTTCTTTACAGGGAGAGACATATAGTATCACTTCAAAGTAAAAACTAGTGAAAAAAATTAGAACATGCCTGCTGGGGTAAACATGGGGGAGATCCTTCTCAATGTCAAGGCAAATTATACAGTTAGATAAGGTTGGTGGTGACACTTTCCTATCAGAGAACTCACCATGGCATGAGAAACCATTGGAAAGTCTGTCTTAGGGTTATGGAGGCAATTCTTCTCTCTCCTTCTGACTTGCCATGTGACCTAGATATGACAACCACACTGCCCATCACAAGTGGCCACATCACCATCCTGTGACTGGGTGGAAGGGCAGCATTTTAAAAATTCATCTTTTTAAACACAGGAAAAAAAATGCGATGAAGTTCTTCTGACATAAATCTTAGAGGTTATTTGTTTATATTGAAAACACAAAATTGTGTCCTTACCACATGAGCAGGAAAGAATTCACTTTTCTTTCTGATCTAACTTGTGGCTTTCTGTTCCAAAAAGGATGAAATTCTGAGCCCAAGTCAGAGATGAGATTGGGGCTGGAATACAAGCTTCTAGAAAATTCTCAAGTGGACAAATAATGCCTAGTCTATTAGGAAGAACATCAAGCTCCATTAGCTCAAAATAACATTCTGAACCCAGATTGGGATCTAAGTTATTCCCATGAGCTTAAACTTGGATATTACATTTGGATATTAAAATAGATCTACTGGGGCTGGAGAGATAGCTTAGCAGTTAATAGGACTGGCTGCTCTTGCAGAAGACCAGGGTTCAAATCCCAGCACCCACATGGCAGCTAACAACTGTATGTAACTCCAGTTCCAGGGACCCTCTTTTGTCCTCCTTAGGCAATGCACAACATGGGTGTACTTTCATACATGTAGGCAATACACTCATACATATAAATTAAAAATAAATAATTAAAATATATCTATGCCGGGCGTGGCGGCGCACGCTTTTAATCCCAGCATTCGGGAGGCAGAGGCAGGTGGATCTCTGTTAGTTCAAGGCCAGCCTGGTCTCCACAGTGAATCCAGGACAGCTGGGGCTACAGGGAGACCCTGTCTCAAAAAAACAAAAACAAAAAATGTATCTATTAAACAGAAAAGGATCTGGTAGGCTCATGCTGTGTGCAAAAGCTTGGGCTGCCTTCTGAGCAAGGCTGGCTAGCTTGTGGCGACTCATGAACTGCTCTGCCTGCTGTTTTTAATCTTGAATGTGAAGTTCTCCAGGGCAAGATTAGGTGGTTCAAATTAGAAACTGGGATTAAGCACAGAGAGGCTGTCTTCAGAATTATTTCCCTTTCTCTCTTCTGGATACTGGCTTGGAAGACTGGTATCTGGGCAGCTGCAATGATGCCCGACTTCCTCCCCAAACAAGGAACATAGACAATGAATCAGGAAGGACCACCTTTATCTCTGAGAGCAGCTAGATAGCTATTAAGGGCCTCACTCTTAAGTTTTCTTCTAAGTTAATAGTCAGTGTGTAAAGCTGTTTAATCTTTCATGAGAATTGGAGCCAGGAACTTGATGGTTTGTGGGAGGCTCTCAAGACCATATCTGCCTGGAAACATTTTTGCAATTAGCCCAGTCCATTTTCATGAGGGGTTGGTTGTCTTTCTGTCTATAAAAGACTGAGAGCTTTTAATTTGACAGGAACAGATGACAGAGGCTTCTGTTAATGGACAAATGGCCTTGCTGAATTTAACCTTAGGTTAAGGCAGTGTTGGATATTTCATTTAAAACATTTGTTGGGGGCTAGATTTGGTTCTGCTTTAAAATACACCTGGGGCTCTTGCTCATATATACTTCTCCAACAGACAACTGCTTTGCATTCTTGGTCTTATATTCCTTTTCTGGGGGAAGAAGGTGGTGATAATTTTGGTAAAAAAATCTTGATGATTGACATTCTTCCACGTGAAGTTCATGGCCCTGGAATATCTCCTCCCCAATCTATAGCAGACCTCAACATAGTCCTCAAAGCTCTATCCTTAATTCCTTTTGCATTGGAGCTCTGCAAGTCCTGGTGCTTAGCCTACAAGGAGTGCCCCTGACTTCCATTGGTCAGTGGCAACAAGCTCAGACATCATCTGATCTCTTGAACTAATGTCCTGAACCCAGCTAGTGCTCTATAGATGTTTGCTGTCACTGATTCTGATAATGACTACAGGATTTGAGAATCACATGAGGGCTCACATGTAGAAAAGGATTTGAACCAATGTGTTCTCCAAGCTCAGACTCCCAGACACAGCCATGGAGGTTGTAGAAACTTACACCCTGAGGCTCTTAACAGCCATTTTGTGGTGATCAGAGCAAACCAAGGTAGACAAAATGAGAAGAGTGAGTTGGCATGACTTTGGTCTTCCTACATTGATGAGGAAACAGTTTATGGGTAGATTGTTTAGCCTACAATCTGAAAGTGTGGACTTTCCTGGGCTGAAGCATTTTGATCAACATTCCTATATATGCCTTTGAAACATCGATATCCAGGTAATAATGTTTAGTACAGGAGGCTGGACAGTAAAGGAAGAAGAATGGCTTGTAAACAAATCACCTGATGGATGATGGCTGTTGGAGCTTTACCTCCATCCCCCCTCCTTCTTTCTCTCCTTTCTACATCCCTCCCTCAATCTTTCTTTCCTTTCTTTCTAGAATGATATGTGTTTCTAGAGTGTGTTCATTAGAATATTTGGTAAACTTACCCAATGTGCAAATTCATAGTGCTCCATCAATTAAATCAAATAACCAAAAAGACTTTGTCCACCTCCCTTTTCTTTCAGTCCTTTGGATATAATCTGGTCAAGGGAGGTTCAGCAAATTTGCTTTCATCATTATTATCTTTCATTATTTCTGGCTTATTGTCAAAGACAATCTCAAGGTCATTCTGATCCTGCCCCTGAACACATCCTAGCTTCTGGCTGTATTCTAAACTCAATGAACCACACACGGGTGAGTATTCTAGACAAGGAGGGACTATGTAAGAGTCAGATTCCATGAAGAAACAGCATCAACTTAGAGACTCACAGCTGTTAGCAAACTGGTGTCCAATAAACTTTCTTGGACATCAGAGAGCTGTGAAAAACATTTTGATGAATTAAGTAAAAAATGAATCACAGACATGTGGAATACATTTTCTGCACTGTACTCAGGATTTAAAATTTACAAGGAAAAGTATTTGGCCACAATTGCCAAACCCAAGAAGCATTTGAAAGGAAACCAGCAAAAGATGTTTCATGGAGAGCGGCTCGGTTTGCTTAGCTTGGCTCATAAAGAGGGTCCATAAAGAAATCACTTCAGCCAGGATTAGTGTGATTAGTCCCTACTAGAGATACTTCCTTGGGATGCTGCCTATGAGTGTCTGGTCATCTCCTTGCCTACCAGGTCCAAAAGCCAGGAAGATGCCCCTCATGTCCATGAGCTCGTTGTCATAACCATGCCATCCACGCTGCCAGCCTTCCCGCCTGCCAGTGCTGTTCATCCAAAATGGAAGCATCTCTCGATTCTGAAATCAAACAAGGTGAAGATATCACACTGTGACTGGAGAGTTAAGACTGGTTAGTGTTTGGTATAAACAACCCTCCACTGTGGAGATTTCCTCCTCAGCATCCCTAACTGGGTTCATCCAACCTCAGCTAGACCACTTCCTACTCCAAGTAGCTCAGACCCTTGTCGATAATTTCTTAAATTCCTGGAGAGTTCTAGTTAAGGAAGTATTTTCTTACAATGAGAACTGTGTCTCGTAATCGGGTTTGGAACCATTAAATACAGCATGTTGGAGATAGAAGGGATGTTAAAATGTGTCTGTGGTATAATATAAAGTATATTTGGTCTTTATCCCGAGTTCCTGCCACAGAGCTCCTAAAACCCTTGGAATTTCCTGAGTGATAGGAGCGTCTTTTGTTATCCTTAATGAGTCTTTCTATACCAAAATTTATGCTGAGCTGAGTCACTGGGTTAGGGAACGAGATAACTTCTGGTCTGATCACCAGAGGAACAAACCTCCTGATTAAAAGGTTAGAATTTAAAGTCCTGAGCCCCCCCAACCATTGGAGCCGGTAAAGGTTCTGGATTTTGAGTTCCATCATGTAACCAATGATGCAGTCACTCATTCCTACACAATGACACCCCATATGAACGGTGGAGAGCATGGTTCAGGCAACCTCCAGACAAAAGCTTTTGCCTCTCATCTTTCACCCATATGCATCTCTTCTACTTGGCTGTTCCCAAGTTGTTTCCTTCATAATAAAACTGCAGTCACAAGTATAGTACTTTCCTGAGTCCCAGGATTCATTCTAATGAATTAAAGTGAGATGGCAAGAACTCAATGCAAATCAGACATAAGTGATAGTAGCCTGGAGACCTAGGGCATGTACCTGACATCCACAGCGAGGGCGCCCTTGTGGAACTGAACCCCTTAGCTTGTGACACCCGCTCTAACTCCAGGCATGAGTGTTGGAATGGAATTGAATGTTAAGATTACCAGTTGATATTGGAGAAGAGTTGTAGGAAAATATGTCTATGGGGTCACCTCATTTTATTAGCAAGGCACACAGAGCCCTAAGGCGTCCTCTCAGCCCGCTCCAGTGCCCCTTCCACCATACATATTACCCCATCCTTCCTTCTAGCTCCACCTTCAGGAATAACTCAGAATATTTAGCCAGCCTCCTCTCCTCCCTGTATTCAACTGTTTGAAAATGGTACCTGCGTTCCTTCTGAATCTACATTTTTTTCAACCACTCTTCATTTGTGTGGGGTCCAGAACCACAGTTTACTTTCCTGTCACTTTCTGGACTACTGTTTCTCAGACTTCAGATGCTTATTTGTCATGAAGCAGGAGCTTGAAGTTTTTATGAGTCCTGATAAGGCTGCAGCTTGTTGTATACAACCCTAGCCATTTGTTGCAGACCAATCATACATTCTTGATAGTCCAACCATCTTCCTGCCAAACAGGAAGTATTACAAGTAGCTCAAATGCAAGAGATAGAATCAACTCAGCAAAACTACCAGCCATTTCTAGATTGGGCCCCAAAGCTATCATGGTATCATCTGTTTACTGAGTCGTATAGTTCACCTAGAGTCACTTGATATTTATAAACATCACAACACCCCAGTGTGGACAGTCCTATTTTTATCATTTGTAACTGAAGGAACTATGGCATAGAGAAGCTAAGTGACACCCTCAGTGTCTCATACCTAGTGAGAGCAGTACTGAGATTAGAACCCAAGTCTGTCTCTCGATCATTGGGCACATTTTACCACCCCACAGTGAGAAGTCACTGTGGTGCTCCTGGTAAAACTGGATAGCAAAGGGTCTTTTTGTGCCCTGAGTATTCACCCACCATGTGAGGGCAGAAAGAGAAGAGTTTGAACTTGGATTGAGTGTGGAGTTAATTTTTGCCGTTCTCTAGCTCTGTGATCCTGGCAAGCTATTGAATGTCTTTGAACTTTGCTTTCCTTGCTGGGTGTAGGCATGCTAACACTTACCTTGCCAGGTTTGGGAGGATGACACGACTATGTGTTAAGAACTTGACATGCAGTAGGTGCTCAGCAAACTGCTGGTTCTGGTAACCAGATGCCACTAGCTGTGGGGCGAGGCACTCTGGTTGTGAGGTTGAACTCTCTTCTGCTTATTTAGCTGTCGTATCACATTGCACACCCATCGGCTCTCACCCCATAAATCGCTCCCTGGCCTTTCTGCATTCCAAACGGCACTATTTCATTGACTCTCTGTTTCCTGGCTTTCCATCATCCCTCGCCCCTCCTTCTCCAGCTGTAGCTTGTATTTTTCCATGGACATACTTTATGAACTTACTGCTCACTTTTATACTTTCTTTGCTGTTGTTTTTAGCTGTCTATGGTGAAGATCACAACACATCTCAATTTAGCTTCATCAGCTAACTTAATGTGTTGCTTTTCCCACTTTCTCTCTACAAGTCAGTGAGGCCAGAAGCCCTAAGTAGAACACTTTGGTTCTTCACGTGCTTACTCATTCTGAGCCCTGCAATATGTATGCACCCCATGGCAGAAGAATGAAGACGGACTGCCTGACCTAAAAATTACAGTCTTAAGAGTTACTGTTTCTTATTCCACAAATAAACACTTACAATAATGAAACTCTCAGGTCTGAAGATAACTGGGGAATTGTCTGATTATAGATATATCACCAGTGCTTATTAAAGTGGCAAGTTGCTCTAGAAAAACAACTATTCTAACTGAAACAAATAATAATAATGAAGTGGTGTGTGAGGGTATAATCACCTCTTCTAAGTGAATGGATGGACCATGTAACGTGTAATCACACCCTTTTTGCTTTTGGTGTCTTTGGTTGTACACACATCCTTTTCTCAGGGCACACATATGGATCCATGATGTGGGAAATGTGTCTCACATCTCTCTGACTCCAGGGTGGGAATACTAGCTTGCAGGTCTTCAGACTGATAGCTGATTAGCTGACCCCATCCAGACCCCTACCAGGCCCATGGACTGCCACACAGTGCCACCTAGTGACATCCTGATTATCATACCCTCCAGATCTGAACAAAGGTGAGAAATTAGAATGTGCGCATGTGTGTAAATAAGCACACTATGAGTGTGCAACTGTAGGGTACAGGAGAGGGAGGATACTGTACCATGGCAATAATTAAGAGGGTGGGAGTGTCTTATGGCTTTTCCTTGGTGACTGGACCCTGGGGGACACTGATGGTGAGAGGCCTGACCCAAAGGAGCAACGAAAAGTGAGAAAACTTCCTTATATGGGAAAAGACCACCAGAAGAAAGCAGCAGTCAGAATGAGCCAGGAACAGGGCTTCCTACTCTCACTTAGGGATGTGCCATTCCAGGAAGGTGACCAGCTGTCCCAGTTTGATGCCAAGGGGACTTCAGGAACACAAGAATGCACTTTTAAAACTGGAAGAGCCTAAGGCAAACCAGGACAAATTGGTCACTCTTCATTTAACACTGTCTTAGGAACTCAAAGATCCTCACACAGTGTGACCTGCTCAGCACTTTCGGTGCTTCCCAGGCCCCCGCCCTGTGCATAGGTAAATGCAAGGTCCAAGAAGGCTCCCAGGTATTCCGCGCTGCTGCCACTTAGTGTGCTGATCATTTCCCTGTCAACCAGATGGTGACAGGTCCACACAACAACATTTAGGGGAAAATGGTTGAGTTTGGATTTGGACTTGGGTACTTCCAATTTGCTGCTTCCCTTCCAGTCCATTATCATGATGCCCACGATAAGCCGGCTTTACTTTGGGATGACAGAGGAAGGATGATAACTGTCTAGGATAGGGCTTTGCTACAAAATCATCCTTAGTGTTAATAAGGAAAAGTAACATTCAAATCAGAAACCTCAAATCTGAAAACAGTAAATGAAATTTGTTTAATCCTTTCTGGGGCTGTTGTGTTGAATTCTACCATTCAAGATTCCTTCTTATTAAGCTGGAATGTCCTAGGAGAATGGTTAGAAATGTCAGGTCTGGGGCTGAAGAGATGGTTCAGGGGTTACTAGCACTTGCTGCTCTTGCAGAGAACCACAGTTCAAACCCCAGTAGTCACATGAGGTAGCTTTCGATTGCTGAGAGAGAGAGAGAGAGAGAGAGAGAGAGAGAGAGAGAGAGAGAGAGAGAGAGAGAAACACACGCTTTTGTGTGCCCCCTCACTCGTGCTCTTGCAGAGAACCACAGTTCAAACCCCAGTAGTCACATGAGGTAGCTTTCGATTGCTGAGAGAGAGAGAGAGAGAGAGAGAGAGAGAGAGAGAGAGAGAGAGAGAGAGAGAGAGAGAGAGAGAGAGAGAGAGAGAGAGAGAGAGAGAGAGAGAGAGAGAGAGAGAGAGAGAGAGAGAGAGAGAGAGAGAGAGAGAGAGAGAGAGAGAGAGAGAGAGAGAGAGAGAGAGAGAGAGAGAGAGAGAGAGAGAGAGAGAGAGAGAGAGAGAGAGAGAGAGAGAGAGAGAGAGAGAGAGAGAGAGAGAGAGAGAGAGAGAGAGAGAGAGAGAGAGAGAGAGAGAGAGAGAGAGAGAGAGAGAGAGAGAGAGAGAGAGAATCTTTTAAAAAAGAAATATCAGATTTGGAGTAGGGATGATGGTGAAGTTCGTGAAAGGAGGGATGGAAGGGTGGGGATGAGGAAGCAGCCTGAGCATTATTTTGTATGTTTGCACACAGGCAAGTCTTGCTATGAGGGACACTATAGCACTTATTTGCTTATCCTTGTGTTTGGGGAATACATCAGCATGTCTGTTTCTTGCCTGTTCCCTCCTATTTTTTTTCTGATTGGTGGCCAAGTCTCAAAGAAAAAAAAATACTCCTGAGGAGGCAGAAGGCCAGCAGTTGAGAGGAGCAACCCTGCCTCTCCAGTTCCTGACCTGTATCACAAGATGATTTCTGATGATTTTGACATCTGTGCTGTGTGGATTTTCTCTCTGGGACTACAGAGGAGCCTTGTTACTTTCCTCCTCTTGGGCCTCGTTGGTTCCTGTTTCTTCTTCCTGTAGGGACCAACTTTGAGA